GCAATCCAAATGGTATCCATAGCACTTATGATGTAATTCAATATATTCATTTTGTGGCCTGATGACCACTGCAGAGTCACCATTCACAGCCTCCAGGGTGCAAAATGGTTTCCAACTTTCAGGTCTCAGAGACCACGAGCAGACCCTGTGACTTATTTTATTATATACAATATATTTACTCTTTTGTTCAATCCTAGTATGCATATAAAGCAGTTTCAGGGAACCAGCAGTTAGTGTAATGCCTATGTCGCTGGACTCCCACGTAGTTGACCGCAGTTCGCATCCCGGACCCGGTGGCTTAAAAATCACGCCGGGCATGTGTGCGTGTGTGCCCAAGATCCCGAGAGGAGAATGGAGGAGAAGGGATTGCAGCGTGACCATCCCCCCTGGGGGGTGATTTCTCGCTTTCTGTCTCTATGCCTCTCTCTGTCTGTCTGGCGAGCGCACACGCCCTATAGTGAAAAAAACCTCTCCAAAATAAATAAATAAATAAATAAATAAATAAATAAAGCAGTTTCAGAATTCCTAACTTACACCTCTGTGAGAAACATTTAACAACTAGAATATAATATTTGTATACTTACATTATTTATTTTGCCTTATAGGATAAAGTCAAAATATTATGTTCCAAAGATACTCAGGTTAACTATTTTCTAATTCCTCCTTATAAATTATAATTGAATAACACAGAGAAGTGACACTCTTTTCATCCTGCTACCACAGTCCCATTTCCCCGTTCTTTCCACCAGTTTCCCACCCACCTCATTTTAGGTGATTGACCTCATAGTTTCTGGTTTTATCCTTCTGGTATTTCTTCTGAACAAATGAATAATTTTTTATAGCTTCTTTTTTACATGAAGAATAGTATAGTACACACACATATTGTTCTTTGTACTTTCACTCCACAATATATCCTGGAAATCACTTTTATATTAGTTCATAAAGATCCTCCTCATTCTTTTTTATAGCTGTATAGTATTCATTATCAAACCAGTTTATTCAACCATTCTCCTACCATGGGTATTCAGTTTATTTCCAACATTTTATTGATAGCAATATAATTACTCAAAAATTTCTCTCCCAAGTCCTTTTACTGCCAAAGTTAGTATCATTTAAATCCCAACTTTCTCATGCCTATATGACAGTAGCATAACAAAATCCTATTATATCCATAAATCTCATGAGAGGAATCCTGTTCCTCCTGAGGTGATACAGGAACTCATACTTTCTACAAGACTGATAAATGCTTCTCTAAACATAAAAACTTTGAACTATCCTGTCTTTTTGTCATAATTAAGTATTTGATGGTCTCTTTACAAAGAGATGGTATAAACAATGATCAACAGAAAAACGTTTACAGTCACACTATTTTGGTTTTTAAAATTTGTCAGAGGGCACGTGTGCTCACTGGAAAGAGAGAAGTGAGAAGCGACAAAGAACTCCCCAGCAAGGATTGTCATGCCACAATCCCTTCTCCATCTCTTCCTCCTTTTGGGATTTTGGGCTTACATGAACATGCACTTGGTGTGCTCTTCAAGCCACTGGGTCTAGGATTCAACTGCAGGTTGAAGTATTTAAAAACAAAGTATTTCTAAACTATTTTAAAGCTAAGCACTAACGACTTCCACTCTATAAATGTCTTTTCTTGGTCAACACTCTTGATCAGATGGCAGTATTTGACACTGTAGGCCCATCCTTCAACCATCTTGCCTTTGTTTTCTAGGCTTAAATACTTAAAGCCATCTTAGATTCCTCTTGGAATCTCACCACATATGTGAGTGCCAGTAATTCAACTTCTCTACTGTTCCCTCCTTAACCTGTATTAGTAACAGCCCTCTGGTTCATTCAGGCCCTTATCAGCTCTCACCTTGATTCCTGTAGATTCTTAATTGGTCTGCTTGACTTTCGCTCTACAGATTAATGTCTATTCTACATCTTTGCCATAATCAGTCCTTTATTCACGAAATATCGGGAACCAGCAGTTAGCGTAATGGCTATGTCACTGGACTCCCACGTAGTCGACCACGGTTCGCGTCCCGGACCCAGTGGCTTAAAACTCACGCCGGGCGCGTGTGCGTGCATGCCCAAGATCCTGAGAGGAGAATGGAGGAGAAGGGATTGCGGTATGACCATCCCCCCTGGGGGGTGATTTCTTGCTTTCTGTCTCTCTGTCTGTCTCTGGCTGGCTGGCGAGCGCACACGCCCTATAGCGAAAACCTCTCCAAAAAAAAAAAAAAAAAGAAATATTTATTGAGAACTTACTACCTGCTAAGTATTATTCTAAGTATTGGGAATATAGCAGTTAATTAAAAAAATAAGACACAATCCTTCCATATTATTCAAGTGGAAAGATAAAACTAAAGATAACTTTGTAAAACATGTATAATAGATTGTGATAAGCACTTTATTTACTTTTTGAGAGGTTTTGCCTTAGGGTGTGTCCGCTTGCCAGAGAGACAGAGACAGTGAGAGGGAAAGTAAGAAATGACCCCATGCTGCAATCCCTTCTTTTCCATTCTCCTCCCGTAATCTTGGCCATGCACACACACGCTCCTGGTGTGAGATTCAAGCCACCAGGTCCAAGACTCGAACCACGATCAGCCATGTGGGAGTCCAGCGACATAACTGCTATGCCATCTGCTGACCCAACACTATGTTTAAAAATAATTTAAAAAAATTATTTTAAAAAAATTTATTTTATTTATTATTATTATTTTTAAATTTGCCATAGGGCATGTGTGCTCACCAGAGAGAGGCAGAAAGAGAGGGAGAGAAAGCAAGCTGCCAGGTATGGGATTCAAACCATAGCTGGCCATGTAGGAGTCCAACACCTTAACCACCACACCACCTACTGGTCCCTTTGATAAGTGCTATTAAATAAAGCAAGGAATGAGGACAGGGAATGCTGGGATAGGATTATAATTTTGCACTGGAGGCTAGAAAAGGCTTCACAAGAAGGTAGCATTTGTATAAAGACCTGAAGGACAGGAAGAAGTATACCATGCCAATATGTGGGAGAAGAGCATATTCCTATAAGAAATGAGTCTTGAAATGCAGTTCTAATTATATTACTCCTTTGTGCAATAAAAACCTCTTTGCCTGTGGAATGAGTTACAATCTCCTGGCAGTCATGGCCATCCACTGTTGAGCTCCAAGCCTCAATCTACCTTTAGACTTTAGTTCTTACTCTATCCTCTTCAGACATGTGCTGCACCAAACTAGCCAGCTAAGAATTTGAGTACTCTTAGTTGAATATCTGACTTTTGAAATTCTACTTATTCCCCCAAAGTCCCTAGCCAACACCACCTCTACCATTCAATCCCCAAATTACCTTTAACTGCTTAAATCATCATTGTACTTGTCTATATCTTTCTTCTGGCCCTTATTGCCTGTATCAGATATTTGCATTTGGGGTCTTAACCTGTCATGTCACTGTCTCTGTAACCTACCTGGGATCAGTAAAGCACACTGGAGCAGAACTTGTGTGACTCTTTTGTTTCAGAGTCTAAAAGCAGTCAGGACTCGAGCAGTGTTCCACCTGAGCAACATTATTACACCATCAATCTTCCTGGAATTCAGTATGCCTGGGTTTCAGACCCTCCAATTGTGACTACCACCAGCTAGTGGCAGAACTTGAAAGCTAACTACTTTTCTATGCTATAACATCAGACTATCATTTTAACTCTTATTTCATAAGGCAATATTAAGGATAAAAGGAAATCATGCTTGTATAATGCTCTCTGCATAGTGCCTGGCACTCAGTACACATAAATATCTACATTTACTGTAACTGTCATCATTATGGTCACCTTCCATGGGCCTTGTCCACGGCGGAATTTATGGTTCTGAGAAAAACACCAAACTTTGAAGGGCGCCCTCTGCTGTCTCAAGACTTCTATAACACTTACATTGTAATAGGCTTGAACTCCCGGGACCAGGAGTTGGTCTTGATCAATTTAATAAATATTTACTGGGTGCCTACTATGAGTCTGAGTTGTGCTGGGGACTAAGGGATCTTTGGGTACTTCTCTATATTTAATAACTATATAATAGGAAAAGTACCACTGTCCTTCACCACTATCCTATGCATCTCTCACTAATTTTCAGTACATCTGTTTAAGGAAAAAAAATATATATTTTTTCTTCTACCACTACATGATTTTATTTTTGTTTACTCTTAATGGAAATGTTTTAAGCAGAAAAGTAGGGATAATAAACATCTTTATTACACATCACCTAGGTTTTTTAAAAATTGTTAGCTGTATAATAATATAATACAGCAAATGCTTAATTTGCTTCAACTTTTCTTTTTTGTCAAAGTAAAATTAGATATTATGTCGTTTCTTTCCTGTTTTAGGGTTTTGCCAAAGGGCTCCTGTGCTTGCTGGAGACAGACATAAAGAAAGTGAGAAATCACACCACCCAGGAGGGATGGCCACGGGGCAGGCCCCTCACCCCCATTCTCCTCTGGGATTTTGGGCATGCCCGCATATGTGCCGGGAGTAATTTTCATGCCACTAGGTATGGGACTCAAACCCAAGAAGACTATGTGAGAATCCAGTGTCTTAATCACCATTCTACCTGGGGCCCTGACATTTCTTTCCAAAACACTTCATTCTGCACCTGTAAAAATTTAAGTTTTCCAAAAAATCGCACTGCCTAATAAATTTAATTTTAATGCCACCCAGTGCATATTCGAATTTTCAAAATCCATCCGAAAATGTATTAAAGTTCATTCAAATGCAAGTTCTATCAAGGCTTATATATTATATCTGGTTATGTCTCTAAAAATCTAGAATAGACCCCCCTTTTTCTTGATGACATCAATCTATTAATGATATAAAGGAAACCATCAATCTATTAAATATATAAAAGAGTTCCACCATCTGTATTTAACTGCTTTCTCAGGTGTGCATGAAATATTTTTTAACTTTCACTTTCCTCAGAAACGAAACCTCCTCCTTTTCTTGTGATCCTCCCCTCCAGGGCTCACTGCTCACCTCTCAGAACCTGCAGGAGCAGATCAATCCCTTCTTGGTAACACACCAGAGCTTGCCGGTACCGGAACTCCGAATCTAGTTCCACTGCCCGCTTTAGCATAGTGACTGCAGCGATGCTGTCCGGCTCCTGTGTCTGGCCGGCTTTCGCCATAATTCTGAAAACTACGCTCTGCTCCAATCCCGACTGCAGTTGCGCCGGCCTGTCTCCCTTGCGAAAATTAGTCACGTGACACTCCCGCGTCTGCGCTGTCTCCCGGTCTCCTGAGAACGCGGCGCTTCTCCGGAACCAGTGTTCCAGTGCATACTCCCCGCTACGGCAGAGTTGGAGCGTTGCACTCGGTAGTTCTTCCCCTGCTCAACTTCCTCTCGGTCGAAAAGATCAAGCTGGATGTTTTAGCTGGCGCTGGTGAGTGGGGAGTAAATGGCCGAGATATTGCATTGTTTTTGCAAGGAGTTTGTATCTTGAAACCCTCTGCAGCTGCTGATTAATATTTTCCTCTTCCGTTCTGAGTCGGCGAGTCATGGCGACCTGGATGAATCTGTGTCTAGATCTCATCTTCGGAGCTCCCGAAAGGCCGCTGGGATCCTTTTTCCCAGGTTGAGAGATCCCGGACCCGGCCGTGCGGCTTGCTGATCCCGATTCTTAGGGCTTCAAGCGCGGAGCCGCCGGGGCTTGTCAGCTTAGAAAAGGGAATTTAAGTTTGTTTTTAGCATTTTCTGTGCTTCTGCTTTAATTCTTAACTTGGGTTCCTGTTAGGGATCAGTGTAATTCAAACAAAGGCTTAAAGTAACCTTATTTTTGCTACATTTCCCCAGACCTTCCAGCGATGCCAGTTAAAATATTTAGAAAAATAGACGTTTTACTAAAAACTGTGATTTTTGCAAACATGTATTGCTCTCCACCCACCAAAGCTGCTTGTTCTGCCTTCTTTTGCCAAGAGACATTTAATGAGGGCTGCTTCCTACTTGTTAGGCACTAGGAATTCAGAGAATACACATTTCTTGCCTTCAGATATGTCAGTTTATTGCAAGAGGAATTCTGTGTTCTGCATTTTTAGTAGGGTTTTTCCCTGTCTATGATTAAACCACTTGCCTTGTCTTTGGAGGGAAAAAAAACCCCACTTTTTAAAAGAACCGTTACATGCGTGATCATTGTTAAAACAAGACTAAAACCCATCAGACAGGGACCAGCAGCTGATATAATACTTACATCGCTGGACTCCCACACAGCGGACTCTGTTTCAAGTTCCAGACCCTGTGGCTTCAAGGCTCTCATGGTTGTGTGCCTAAAATCCTGAAAGGAGAATGGAGAAGGAATTGTGATATGGTCATTCTCCAGGAGGAGTGATTTCTTGGTTTCTGTTTGTCTCCAGCAAGTGTGTTCACCTTATAGCAAAAACTAAAAATAAAACACTCCCAAACATCAGAAGATCAGAGGGGGGAAATAGAGGAAATATCATCCTTGCAGCTTACCCTCCAGGTTCAGTTTAATGTTTTTCTGACAGCCTGCTAGAGTGCGTGCATACACACACCTTAAGACATTTTAAAATTAGAATTGAATCATTCATATGATACAGGTTTTTATCCTTTTTTTTTTTTGAGAGGTTTTTGCTATAGGGCGCATGCTCACGCCAGAAAGAGAGAGAGAGACAGAAAGCAAGAAATCACTCCCTGGGGGGATGGCCACGCCACAATCCCTTCTCTTCCATTCTCCTCTTAGGATCTTGGGCAAACGCACATGCACCTGGCATGAGTTTAAGCCACCGGGTCTGGGACTTGAACTGCAGTCAACTACATGGGAGTCCAGTGACATAGCCATTACACCAACTGCTAGTCCCAGTTAGTTTCCTGTTTTTGCAGCTATACAAAAGAGACATTATTGCACAGTAGGAGAGAGAATAATTGATTCAAGGTCCAAGAGTTACATATTTTTAAGAATAATCTTCACTGGGCCCACCAGGTGGCACGGTGGTTAAGGCAGTGGATTCTCACATGGCTGACCACAGTTTGAAAATCATGCCAGGCATATGTGAGTACATGTCCATAATCTCTAGAGGAGAATGGAGGAGAGGGGATTGTGGTATGGCTATCTCCCCTGGGGAGTGATTTCTCACTTTCCTTCTCTCTGGTGAGCTCCCCTGCCGTATGACAAAAACTTTTTAAAAAATTGAAAAAAAAAATTAATCTTTATTGGGCCAGCAGGTGGCTTGGAGGTTAAGGGATTAGCTTTCACAAAGGACTGACTGCAGTTACAGTCAGACTAGGGGCTTGAAAATCATGCTGGGCTTGTATGTATGTGTGCCCAAAATTCCAAGAGGGGAGTGGAGGAGAAGGGATTATAGTGTGCCCATCCAACCCATGGGTGGGGGGTGATTTCTCATTTTCCTTCTCTCTCACTCAGGGACGCTCACATGCCCTGTGGCAAAAGCTAGAAAACCAGGATGTAGACACTAGACATGCACATTGCTACTAGTGCTGTTGTTTTAGATTTTCTCAGCTTATAGAGCTAGCCTATGTGTACATACATATCTATAACTTTTTTTTCAATGTATATTTATTTCTTTCATGAGAAGGAAAAAGAGGATAGAGAGTCACGCCCAACAGATTCTTCATGCTATGTATGATCTCACCCCTAACCTCAGCTAGCCAGGATCAGCTGTATGTTTCTATGCCCCTGGCATGCACAGAGGGGCCTTGGGACACAAACCTGAGACCTTCCTATATGATCTGAGCATCTAGAAGTGTTGTATTGCCATTGCGCCACTGTGACTGGCCCTATCATTATTTCTATATCCTTATATCTGAATTAAGCTAACCATGAGCTAACGCTAAACTGGTGTGTACAGATCATTATAACCTTCCCCTTAAACTACTGGAGTGTAAACAGTGAGCATCTTGGCTTTGGAAGGTTTTGAGCAGAATAGCATGGTCTGATTTAGGATTTAATGATATTAATTACTGCTGCTGTGATAAAAAGACATTAAGGGAGGTACTAGCAGGTGGCATGGTGGTTAAGGGTGCTGGACTCCCACATGGCAGACCGCGGTTCAAGTCCCAGACCTGGCAGCTTGCTTTCTCACTTTCCCTCTCACTCTCAGTCTGTTCCTCTCTATTCATATTAAAATAAGTTAAATTAAAATTAAATAAAATAAAGTTTTAAAATAAAATTATTTTTTAAAAACATTTTATTTTATTTTATTTGACCAGAGAGGGACAGAGTGAGAGAGAGATTGAGAGAGGTAACGTGAGAAAGCAAGCTGCCAGGTCTGGGACTCGAACCACAGTCAGCCACGGGGGAGTCCAGCACCCATAACCATCACGCCAACCATGCTGGCCCCAAAATAAATAATTCTTTTTTTTAAAGAAAAAGAGACTAGAGGAGTTGAAATGAAAGCTGGAAAGCTAGTTAGGATCCTGTTGAAAAATTTTAAGTGATGAAAGATTTAACAAAGTATGAGACCAAATAAGTTGAATTGGTATATAATACTTAAACTTGGAAGGAAGAAGTATGGTAAAATAATTTAGCATTTGATTGGTTCGGTTACTGAGGAATTTTTTTGAGTTCTGACTCTTCTCAGGGAACATCTTGCTTTGATTCTCGCAACTCCATTGCTCTGTGCATGTCACAGGAATGACTTGCAGAACTTGGGTCAGCTGAACTCTGGTGAAAATTGACTACACCAACTGGGGTATTATAGTTACTTTTATTAATAATTTTATTACCTTATAGTAATAAAAACTATTATTTATTGGAGATGCTGTTTCAGGTGTTTGGTAGAATAACTCATTTGTAAAATAGATACTGTTTTCTCTGGGGAATAAAACTGAAGCATACAAATTAATTTGTCCCAAATATATATGTAGTTCATGAGCCTAATCTTTCTGCTTTCAGTAATACATCAGTATATAGTAGGTTATAATTGTTTAGTGTCTAACTAAACACGTGATCTTTTTAGGTTATAGAAGTAATGCATGTACATTAAGAATAGTTTTTAAAATACCTAATAAGCAAAAAAAAAGTTGTACTTTTATTATAATAGAAAGGTATTTGATTTTAGTGAAAATGCACTGACCTAGTAAGAAATGATTTACACCCAGTAAGTAGATTGATAGGGCGGGCACGCCGACAAGAGAGCCACTATCTACCATGCTAGGCAGTCACTTTGTATTATTTTTTCCTTTCCCCTTTTTTCTCTAGAGTCCCTGTATTCCCTTGACTTATGGAAATGTAGATCTTGCTCCTAAACAATTTATGACTCCTTGCTTTAAGACTTAATTAGGCAAAAACCAGAGACCAATTGTCATAGCCCAGAGCACACAGATAAAGTAAGAGTTTTTTCACAGAAAACTGACAACTGGGGAGTAAATTTCAAGATAGGAATCTCTGAGCCTTCAAAGTTAACTGAGATAGGGCCAGCATGTGTTGTGGTGGTTAAGGCACTGGACTCCCACATGGCCGACCTCAATTGAGTCCCAGACCTTGCAGCTTGCTTTCTCACTTTTCTCTTTCTCTTCCTGTCTCTGGTGAGTGCATGTGCTCTATAGCAAATTGAAATATAATGATAAATAAAATTAAATAATTCTTAAAATAAAAGTTAACTGAGATGACAGCTTTTCCCAAATTAACAGCCTCTGAACTAAGAAGTTACCAAACCATTCACTATTAGCATAACCTGTAGGATATATGACCCCTATCACTAGGGTAACGCATGCACAAGAAGCCTAACCAAAGCGCCTCTTGCAAAGTTCTTCTCGGGCAACCCATTTTCTGGAACACGCTCCCTGCTTGGGAGCTCTGTTCTTCCTTCCCTCGCTTAATAAATTTTCCACTTTACTATCTCTTCCCTGTGTCTGCATCTCTAATTCTTTTTTTTGGGGGGAGGGGGAGAGATTTTCACTATAGGGCGCGTGCGCTCGCCAGACAGACAGAGAGACATAGAGACAGAAAGCAAGAAATCCCCCCCCAGGGGGGATGGTCACACCACAATCCCTTCTCCTCCATTCTCCTCTCAGGATCTTGGGCACGCACGCACGCACACGCGCCCGGCGTGAGTTTTAAGCCACCGGGTCTGGGACATGAACCGCTGTCGACTACGTGGGAGTCCAGCGACATAGCCATTACATTAACTGCTGGTTCCCTGCATCTCTAATTCTTCATAAGCATGAGACAAATATTGATTTCTCTGCTATTCCTGCATTGGGTACTGGGCCAACACACCCCAGCTTCCTGCATCATTAGAACTTAGGAGGATTGGGAACCAGCAGTTAACATAATGACTATGTCGCTGGACTCTCATGTAGTAAACAGCGGTTCAAGGCCCGGACCCGGTGGCTTAAAACTCACACCGGGCATATGCACGTGCATGCCCAGGATCCCGAGAGAAGAATGGAGGAGAAGGGATTGCAGCGTGACCATCCCCCCTAGGGAACGATTTCTCGCTTTCTCTCTTTGTCTCTTTGTCTGGTGAGCACACACACACTATAGCAAAAACCTCTCAAAAATAAATAAATAAATAAAATAGAACTTAGGAGGATTGGGTTCTAGACCCATATACTCTGTTGGTAGCTGGATGTCTTTGAATAAATGATGGAACTTTCTGAGATTCACTTTCCTCAGAAATGAAGTAAGAACGTAGTCTATTTTAAGGGTTGGGATTTCTTTGATCCTTTCTAGCTCTTTAATAATCTTTGATTCTGTGACCAAGCTTCTTTATCTGCCCTCATTGTTGAAGACAACTTTTTAAATGATAGTACATTCCCATTTCCCAGTTTTGCATAGTCAGCCTAGGATTTAACTCACTTGATGAAAATGGGATGTGGTTAATGTTTAATTACTACTCTATGGTTTTGCTGAACTCCGAATAAAACATTTATTAAAAACTACTTCTTGCTCTTATTAAAATAATCAAGATTTTACTTCTAAACTTCAATTAGATTTACAGTTATCTTGCTACTTAGTTTTTTAATTCTAGAGAAAGGAAGGCCTGTCCTTTTCCAAGATATATTTGACCAATAAGTCTATTTTCTACTCACAGCTTGCGAAGAGAACAGTTGCTACATTTATGGCAGGGATTTTGCACTCAGTAGTTCAGAGGTCCCCAGGCAGACTACAGGTAAGTGTTTCTTTTCTGGGATTACTTTCTTTTCTACTACTTATGAATTTTTTTCTTTTTAATTACAAAACATACAGACAACTTAAATTCTTTTATAAGTTCCTTTTTTAACCCACTTTTTTTTAAGAGTTTTTTTTGTTGTTGTTTTATTTGTTTGTTTTGCTGTAGAGTGCATGCACTCGCCAGAGAGACAGAAAGGGAGAAATCACCTCCAGAGGGGATGGCCACACCACAATCCCTTCTCCTTTTTCCTCTTGGGACTTTGGGACTTTGGGCACACATGCACATGCACCCAGCGTGTGTTATGCTTTCAGGCCCAGGACTTGAACCACGGTCAACTATGTGGGAGTCCAGTGATGTAACCATTACACCATCTGCTGGTCCCACCAGTTAATTTTTTTATGTTAATTTGTTGTTGTTTACAGTTTATCTTCTGCCTTATCCCTGAAGATTTAAAATCACAACAGATCTTTTCCTGGAAAACAAGCCAATAGAAAATAGACCTGTTGAGGGACCAGCAGTTGGTGTAATGGCTGTGTGGCTGGACTCCCATGTAGTAAGCCGTGGTTTGAGTCCCAGACCTCGTGGCTTAAACTCCTGGCAGGTGCGTGTGCGTGTGTGCCCAAGATCCCAAGAGGAAAATGGCGGAGAAGGGATTGCGTTGTGACCAGACCATCCTCCCTGAGGGGTGATTTCTCACTTTCTATCTCATCACTCTCTGTCTTTCTGGGGATTGCACACACCCTATAGCAAACCTCTCAAAAAAAAAAAAAAAGAAAGAAAGAAAAGAAAATAGACCTGTTGATTCCACCCTTGGTTTAACTTTTATCTTCTAAAAGTTTTAGTTTTTTTTTTTTTTCTTACCCCTGCAGTTATGAAATGAGTACATTTTCTTTTTTTTTTAAGAATTATTTTATTTAATTTTATTCATTCATTCATTCATTTATTTTAATTCAACCAGACACACACACACACACACACACACACACAGAGAAGAAAGTGAGAAAGCAAGCCACCGGGTCCAGGGCTCAAGCTGTGGTCAGCCATGTGGAAGTGTCCAGCGCCTTAACCTCTTCTCCACCTGCTGGTCCCGGAAGAGAGTACATTTTCAATCATAGAAAATTATAAAAATACAGAAAAGCAAAAAGAAGAGAAACAACCTCCCAGAGACCATTAATGCTAGTATTTTCTTATGTTTTCTTCCAGTTTTTCTTTTGGAAAGTGCAATAGTACCCCAGTGTACTCATAAGGGTAGGAGTCTAAATATAGTCCTGTTATTATGTGTAAATGATAATAATGCCAGATGCAATATCTTAATCACAGGTTAATCTTTTGGTATCAGTATTATTAACTTTTTATAGCTAAGAAAACTGACCTTTTGAGTCAGTGTTTCATGGGTGTTTAGTTTTTCACAGCTGACAGGCGGCAGAGCCAGGATTAAGAACCTAGTGATTGTGTGTAAAACCTGCGGTCCCTCCCTCCTCCACCTTCATTCCCTCCTGCCTAGTACTAGTTATTTATACTATCTGGGTAGTACGGGAAACACGTCAAGAAAATGACTATTGCCCATCCGTAGAGCAGTTTCCTGGCATGAAAGGTAGATAATGAATCCTTTTTCTTCAGCAGCCTGAGAAACAGGATTGGAAGAATACAGAACAAGAATAAGAGATGGGAACTGAGAGTGATGACATTATTAGGAATAGAAAGAAAACTGGAAAGCAGTATGGATTTCTTTCACATAGTATTGTTGAAGATGAAGGTGAACTTTTTGTACGTTGTCTAGAGCAAGAGCTGATAAACTATGGCCTCTAGGCCAAAGTCAGCCTGCCTCCTGTTTCGAGAACAAAGCTTAATGGAAACATAGCCATACCCATTTGTTTGCGTGTTGTCTACTGCTTTCACCCTAAAATATCTTGGCAATGGAGTGTAACCCAGCTCCAGAGCTGGAAATAGTTGCTATCTGATTCTTTTTTTTTTTTTTAAGTTACTAATTCCCCCTCTGACAGTCTATGTGTATGTGCTATTAGCTTTATAAAATGTTATAATATACGGTGAGTGGGGATGTATTCAGCTAGGGAGCTGAGATAAACCTTTAACATTCTTGTTTTTGGAGAGGTTTTTGCTATAGGGTGTGTGCAATTGCCAGAAAGACAGAGACAGAAAGTGAGAAATCACCCCCCAAGGGGGGTGGCCATGCCACAATCCCTTCTCCATTTTCCTCTCAGGATCTTGGGCACACATGCACACATGCCCCTTGGGAGTTTAAGCACTGACTGGATCTGGGACTCGAACTGTGGTCAACTATGTGGGAATACAGCGACATAGCCATTACACCAACTGCTGGTCCCAAACCTTTAACATTTCTAAATTAAGTCAGAATAGAGTTTTGTCACCTAACGATTGGTGGGTATGAATTGCTATGCTAGACAGAATTCTAAACAAATGTTTTATATCATATTTCAGACTGTGACAAAAGGTGCGGAATCTCTCATTTGTACAGACTGGATTCGTCACAAATTTACCAGGTCAAGAATACCGGATAAAGTAAGAATGATGGCTTTTAGGTTTGGTTTTGGTTTTATAAATGCTACTATTTTATTGAAAATACACTATTTTAAAAGGTACTTACTTTTGTAATATCAAAAGCTTTTCTGTTAAATTATACTTAAAGGTAGTGGTCTAGGGTTTAAAACATAGTAGGATTTATGTGAATGATCAAAAATTAAAATGAGCTGATTCCTATAGCACTGTCCTTCACCGTCTTGAGTTTTTATTTATTTTGGAATCTCTTTATTCCTGTTTATGGTATTTTTCCTTTTATTTTATATTTTTGTATTATGCTTCTCCTGAGAAAACAGAGGGTCTTCCTGCTTTGGATCTTTCAGCTTTTTCTTTGGTTTTTATGTGTTCATCATACTCTTAAAAACACTAAGTCTTCTATTGATTTTTGTTTGCGTTTTTTTTTTTTTTTTAACAGACTTTTTCTGGGAGAAGTTTTGGGTATACAGAAAAATTAATCAAAGTATGGAGAGTTTCCATATACTCCCTTCTCAAACATATACAGTTTCCCCTTAATTAACATCTTGGATTGGTGTTACAGTTGATGAAACAGTATTGACACATTATTATTAACTGAAGACCATAGTTTATAGTAGGGTTCATTATGTTGTACAGTTCTGTAGATTTTGACAAATACTGAATGTCTTGTATTCACTGTTACAGTGTCACTATTATGGAATAGTTTCATTATCCTAAATATCACGTATTTTCTTTTAAAGAATTATTTTACTTAATTGATTTATTTAAATTTTGACCAGAGAGGGACTGAGAGAGAGAACAAACTGCCAGATCTGGGATTCTTAACTGTGGTCAGCCATGTGGGAGTCCAGCGTACTTAACCACCACACCACAAATTATTTATTTAACTTTATTTATTCATTCATTCTTTTTTTTTTTTTTAATTTGACCAGAGAGAGACAGAGATAGAGAGGGAAAGTGAAAAAGCAAGCTACCAGGTCCAGGACTCAAACTGTGGTTGGCCATGTGGGAGTGTCCAGCACCTTTAGCACCACCCCACCTGCTGCCCCCCCCCCACACCTATTTTTAATCATTGAATGGTATTATTTTATTTTATTTTATATATATATAAATAACCAGCATGATTTCTTTCACTGGGTGGATATCTTGGACAATCCATTCAAGGAAGATCATTTAGTCATTTAGTCCACCTTGATGAAGCGTATATCCTTCGGGACTGACAGAAATATGACGGACATGTTGAGGCCGTATTTCCGGATCAGACCGTGCCGGTTCTAGCACATGAAGCAAAGTGAGAACCCTGGCCGAATTTTTGTGGGTGGCTCCAGTAGAGCTGCTGCTGACCCATACTGTTTTCAGTGGGGCAACAGAGCAGAAGGAATAATATTCTTTTTTATTAGAATGTTATGTGGTTTGAGATGATACAGTATCTATAACCCTTTTAAATTGACTTCTTTCACTATCAGTATATGTTTAAGGTTTCTCTCTGTCTTCTTTGTGATACCTTATATCTTGTTGCTGACTAATATTCCATTGTATGAATGTATACCGTTTATTTGTGCATTCGCTTACTGAAGGACATCTTGGCATCCTGTTGCTTCTAGTTTTTAGCAATAATGAACAAAGCTACTGTAAATGTTCTGTTGCTGACTTTTGTGTGAACGTAAGTTCTTTTTTTTCTTTAGAGGTTTTTGCTTTAGGGCATGTGCACCAGAGAGATACAGACAGAGACAATGAGAGGGAAAGTGAGAAATTCCCACCCCCCCCCCACTCCTCCTACCCCGGGCATGGCGGTGCTGCAGTCCTTTCTCCATTTTCCTCTTGGGCACGCATGTACACATATCCAGCTTGAGTATCAAGCTACTGAATCCAGGACTCGAACTGTGGTTGTCTACGTGGGAGTCCAATAATGTAACTGCCACACCATCTGCTGGCCCCAAGCATAAGTTTTTAACTCCCTGGGTAAATATCTAGGAGCACAAATGCAGGATTGTGTGGTAAAGACTGTTTAGCATTGTAAAGCCTGAGGCTTCTTTTTTTTTTTTTTTTGGAGGGGAATTCTAAAGTTTTTTTCATTGTTGTAAAGTGTACGTAACATACAGTTCACCATCTTAACCAGTTTCCAGTGTAGTGTTCAGTGGCATTAAGTGCATTTACATTGCTGTGTAGCTATCACCTCCATCCATCCTCAGAACTCTTTCCATCTTCCAAAACTGAAACTCTATACCCATTAAACTCCCACTCACCCCTTCCCCCAGCCCCTGGCAACATCATTCTCCACTGTTTATTTTGTTGTTGTTTTATTTTAAGGTAAAAGTATTATCATTGACTACTTTCATACCTTTAATGTGCTTGATGTTGCATTCTTTTATCAAAAAACTCTTTATTTCTCAAGTCATGGTCTTTCCACTGATTTCCTTTTAAAACTACACGGTCTTATATTTTCCCATGTTTCTTACTCTGTTTCTGGAAGTAGAGAACAAATAAAATGTTGGCATTCATTTAAAATGTACAAGAGGGCTCAGCAGGTAGCATGGTATTTGGGGTGGCTGGATTCCCACATGACTGATTGTGGTTTGAGTCCCAGGTACGTGTGTGTGCGCGTGCGCTCGCGCTCCACCAAGGTCCTAAGAGGAGAAAGAGGAAAATGGGGAAGAGGGAATGTGGCATGGCCATCGCCTTGAGGAGTAATTTTCTTACTTTCTCTCTCTGTCTCTCTTTATCTCTCTCCTTTCCAGTGAGCACATGCGCCCTATGGAAAAAAAATTAATAAAATAAAATGTGCAAGAGTGTGATTTTAATCATTAGTGGTAAATGTGAATACTTTTAAACTACATAGAAATGACTCAACTGTGTCTCTCCAGCCCGTGCCTATCTTCTGGACTGACTGACTGTATTCTAGACATTGCTACTTGAATAACTTAAAAGTATTTAAAGTTAAAAGTATTCAAAATTAAATTTATCTTACTGGAACCAGCAGGTGGCATGGTGGTTAAGGTGCTGGATGCTCCCACATGGCTGACCATCGTTCAAGTTCCAGACCTGGTGGCTTGATTTCTCACTTTCTCTCTCTCTCTTTCTCACTCTGTCCCTCTTTGGCCAAATTAAAATAAATAAGTAAAGTTAAATAAAATAATTCTTAAAAAAATAAAAAGAAAGCCTTAATTGGCTAAAAGCACAAGCCCACAGTGCAGAAGTTAAGCCTTGTGCATTGGGGGACAAATCCCACAAAGCCAACCATGGCTCAAATCTCAGCCCCAGTGGCTTGAAAAAACAAGAAGGATGTGTGTCCAAACTCCTGATGGAATGGAGAAATGGAGGGAAAAGGATTGCAGTGCGACCATGCCCCATTGTAAGAGAGGGACATGCATGCTCATTCTGTCTCTCCAGCAAGCACATATGCCCTCTAGGGATAAAAATAAATATTAAATTTTTAAAAAGCGCACGTCTTTGTCTCCAAAAGACTCAGCGTCAGCAGAGAATGTCTGAGTTTAACTTAACAGAGATAAGAAGGCTTTGTTGTATGATATGTAATACTACACCAGTGTCAGCATGTAGGGAGCATTTCACAAAATGGTCTGTTACGGCAAGATTAATGTTTATAGATGTGACTCTTCAAGGTCTCCCCTTGGGAAAAACATCTTAAAATAGGAAAAGTAGTCAGAAATCTATCTTCAGTGCTCTTTCTGTATTAGTTATCTCAGTTAGTGCTGCCATCCACTTTCTTTTACACCTATAGTTCAGGCTCTTAAACTACAGCTGTTGTCCGGTCTTCCATGTTCTATTCAATTTATTCTCATAATGGTTTTCCTTCTGGATCTCTTTTGAAATTTGGTCATGTAGCTTCAACCCTTCAATAGCTCTGCATCCCTCCAATAACTTCTAGAGGCCTAGGATAGGTGAACATAGAATAACTTCATCCGCACTGATTTTTACATGCTTTCAGTGTTAGTCACACTGAACCACTTGCTTTTCCCAAATATTTCATGCATTTTCACAGTATTTATTTACATATTCTTTCCTTTTCTTTTTTCTTCTTTTTTTGGAGAGGTTTTTGCTACAGGGCACGTGCGCTCGCCAGAAAGACAGAGAGAGACAGAAAGACAGAAAGCGAGAAATCACCCCCCATGGGGTTTGCCACAGTGCAAACCCTTCTCCTCCATTCTCCTCTCAGGATCTTGGGGACGTACACACACACGCCCGGCGTTGAGTTTAAGCCACCGTGTCCGGGACTTGAACTGCAGTCGACTACATGGAAGTCCAGCAACATAGCCATTATGCTAATTGCTGGCCTCTCCTTTTCTTTAGAATATCTACCCTGTCCTCTGATTTCTTTTATTCTTCTCACCCTGAATCTCTTCAAAGTCCCTAGAAAAGTAAAGCAACAAAAAGAACAAAAAAATACCCTTAATCCTTAGTTTTTGCTATGGGGTACATGTGCACTCCAGAGAGAGATGGGGTGAAGGGGGAAAGGAGAATAAGAAATCTCCTCTGGGCTGTGAGAGTCCAAGAGCAATGCCCTGGCGACTTTGGGTTCCCTCAACCATGACCAGATGAAAAACCCAAATGGTTCATACCAGTACACTCTGAAGTTGTGTTTCTTCAGTGCTCAGCACGCCTTCTAATTAGGTGCTTAGGAAGAGTCCCATCCGAGCAGGAAAACGTTTCCCTTTCCTCCAAAATGCTGGGTTAGCAGAGGCTTAACCATAATGGCAGTGCTGGAAGTATGGAGGGGGAGTGGGAGAGGGGCTGATACCTCCCAAAATTAACCTTCATTTACAAAAATATATTGTACAGGGACCAGCAGTTAGCATAATGACTGTGTTGCTGAACTCCCATGTAGTCAACCGTGGTTCGAGTCCCGGACCCGGTGGCTTAAACTCATGCTGGGCACTTGTGTGCATGCCCAAGATCCCGAAAGGAGAATGGAGGAGAAGGGATTGCGGCATGGCCATCCCCCTGGACGGTGATTTCTCGCTTCCTGTCTCTCTGTCTCTCTCTGTCTTTTGTGAGCACATTTGCCCTAAGAAAAAAAAAAAAAAAAAATCCAACAGCAACAAAAAAAATTATTGTACATGAGATTTATTTTTTTTTCTTGTTCATACATTCATGTTGCCCATGTACTCTTGGCACATTTCAATAAAATAGTTTAGAAAATTGAAAAGAAAGGAAAATTCATCATGACGTTCCTGATGACCTAATATTTTAAATCATTGAATAATACTCTTTTTGATTAAAATATCATAATTTTGGGGGCCATCAGGTGGTGTGGTGGTTAAAGCAGCTGGACTCCCACATGGCTGACTGCTTTTCAAAGTCCCTAACTCGGCAGCTTGCTTTCTCATTTTCCTTCTCTCTTTCTGGCTCTTTCTGGTCAACTTCAATTAAATAAAATAGCGACAATGAATAAAATTAAATTAAATACTTATTAAAAAAAAATAACAGTTTAGGGACCAGCAGTTAGCGTAATGGCTATGTCGTTGGACTCCCATGTAGTTAAGCGCGGTTTGAGTCCTGGACCCATTGGCTTAAACTCATGCCGGGCGCGTGTGCATGCGTGCCTAGTATCCCAAGAGGAGAACAGAAAAGGGATTGTGAGGTGTCTGTTCTTCCCGGGGGATGATTTCTTGCTTTCTGTCTCTCTCTCTCTGGCAAGCATACATGCCCTATAGCAAAAACCTCTCCCCCCAAAAATAAAAAATAAAAACATTTTTTGGTGTGTTCTTCACTCTATTTCCCAGAATTATGACCCGTAATGTAATGTTTTTGCAATCTTTACATGATCTTTATTCATAGGAACAATTTTTATTTATTCTTAGAAACAGTATTTATAGGGCCAGCTAGTGATGTGGTGGTTAATAAGGTGGATGGATCCCACATGGCCAGTTGCACAGTTTGAGTCCCAGACCTGGCAGCTGAAAAAATGACAGGAATATGTGAGCGCATGCCCAGAAGTCCCAAAAGGAGAAATGGAGAAAGGACTGAGGCATGGCCATCCTCCATGGAAGGAGCATTCTCACTTTCCCTCTCTCTCTCCCTGTCTTTCTCCAGTGAGCGCACACACCCTACAACAAATTAAAAAGAAAAAGAACAATATTTCTAGGATATATTCTGTATAAACAGCCATGTACTTGGTACAGATGGTACAAATAAAAGCATTTATACAGCAATATAAAAATTTGTGTTTTTGTTGTTGTTGTTAATTTTGTGTCTCAAGAATATATTATAGCCATCCCTCAATGTTAGTACCTGCAAGGATAGTAAACCTTACTTGCTTTAATGGGAGCATTTTATCCTGTAGAATACAGTAGAATTTATGTATTTGTATCATATTTTGTTTAGTGTTATTATTAGTTTTATTTAGAATAGGTATATCGTTATTTAATTATTCAGTTAAGGCATATGGATGTTGCCTTTAAATTTATCAATGTAATTCACATGTTGCATTGTCATTTTTTATATACATGTTTACTTCCCTACTTGACAGTCAACTCATAATTTTCTGAACAGAGGATGAGGAACAGCCACTTGCTCAAGGTGGTGCTAATACATTGGGTCACTGGAGAAGTCGTTCCCATATTTTTCTGTTTTTCTATGCAAAGGTACATCATGACTTTTCTTTTTTTTTTTTTTTTTCTTGAGAGGTTTTTCACTATAGGGCGCGTGCGCTCGCCAGACAGAGAGAGACAGAAAGCGAGAAATCACCCCCCAGGGGGGATGGCCATGCCGCAATCCCTTCTCCTCCATTCTCCTCTCGGGATCTTGGGCACGCACGCACACGTGCCCGGTGTGGGTTTTAAGCCACCGGGTCCGGGACGCGAACCGCGGTCGACTACGTGGGAGTCCAGCGACATAGCCATTACACTAACTGCTGGTTCCCGATCGTGACTTTTCTGAGGGCCTGATACTTTCCTGGCATTTGAATAATTGTGTTATCTGGTGGCTCGTGCTTTATTTTATAGGCTAACATAAAACAAAACAAAAAATTCTGAATAATAGTATCTTTGTGATATTTTTCTTAAGAGTATGAAATTCTTCAACTGAGTAATCAGACTGGTAGGAACAGTCTATTTTTTTTTTAAAGAATTATTTTATTTAACTTTATTTATTTTAATTTGATGAGAGAGGGACAGAGTGGGAGAAAGGGAGGGAAAGCAAGAAAGCAAGCCACCAGGTCTGGGATTCAAGCCATGGTCGGCCATGTGGGAGTCCAGCACCCTGAACCACCATGCCACCTGCCGGCCCCAGTGAAACATTCGATTTGAAGTTTGAAGATTATATAAAGATTAGGCATAAGATTAGTAAGTAATGTATCCTGTTTTTTGGTTTTTTGAGAGAGAGATTTTCGCTATAGGGCGTGTGCGCTCGCCAGACAGACAGAGAGAGACATAGAGACAGAAAGCGAGAAATCACCCCCCAGGGGGGATGGTCATGCCGCAATCCCTTTTTCTCCATTCTCCTCTCGGGATCTTGGGCATGCACGCACACGCACCTGGTGTGAGTTTTAAGCCACCAGGTCTGGGACGCGAACCGCGGTTGACTACGTGGGAGTCCAGCGACATAGCCATTATGCTAACTGCTGGTTCCCTGTATCCTGTTTGTTTTTTAAGAAAAACATGAGAGGTACATAGCCAAATTGAAAATTTACCATTTCTAATTCATTTTTTTAAGGTATTTCAACCTTCAGCTGCCGATCATGAAAAATATGGCGGGGACCCACAGCACCCTCATAAACTGCATATTGTTACCAGAATAAAAAGTACAAGCCGTCGTCCATACTGGGAAAAAGATATAATAAAGATGCTTGGATTAGAAAAAGTATGCAAGTATTTTAGTCGCCTTTAGTGTATAGATTTGCTTTAAATTTTACACTTTATATGTTTATTATTTTTTGTGTTTAAATGTATCACTTGTAACTTATTTGTAAGTTGGATTTAGACAGAATGAGTCTTCAGTTAATATTGAACTGCTTTATTAAATTGATCCCAACTATTGTTTCTTTTGTTCCTAGGCACATACTCCTCAAGTCCATAAGAATATCCCTTCAGTGAATGCAAAACTAAAAGTAGTCAAACATTTGATAAGGTTTGTTATTATCTCAAGAGTTTTTACAAAATGAGTTACCTGCTGTAATTCTAAGTGCCATTTCTTGTGTCCCAGAATTCAGCCCCTGAAGTTGCCCCAAGGACTTCCCACAGAGGAGGATATGTCTAACACGTGCCTCAAGAGCACAGGGGAGCTAGTAGTATAGTGGCGTCTGAAGGGAGCACAGGGGAGTTAGTAGTACAGTGGCGTCTGAAGCCTGTGGAGCCCGAAGCAGTGAAGTCCTGATGCCAGAGCAGCTTCAGATTAGAAAATGCAAATCTTTGTTATTTAAAGATGGTGAGAAAATGTTCATTAAAATATGTTATAAATACCAGTCATTGTCACTGACTAAGCTTTCCTTAGTATATAGACTTGGAAGTTTTCACGCTATTATTTGGTGTAATTCTCTCCTTTTTCGCCCTAATAATTTCACACCAAATGGGTTAAAAAAAAAAAGGTCTGGAGCCAGCAGATGGAGTGGTGGTTAAGGTGTTGGACTCTCACATAGTCTATTGTGGTTTGAGTCTTGGACCTGGCAGTTTGAAAATCACGCTGGGCACGTGTGCATGTGTGCCAAAAATCCCAGAAAGGGAATGGAGGATAAAGGATTGTATTATGGCCATCCCTCCTGTGGGGTGATTTCTCATTTTTCCTCTCCCTGTCTGTTTGTCTCTCACTCTTTTTCTGGTGCACGCATGCATCCTATAGCAAAAACCTAAAAAAAGGTAATTGTTTGAATGTCCAGGTTCAGGCCCACTGCCACCTTAGTAGTTGTAATGAACTTTTTGTAAAATTAATGTTCTTGTTTAACTGAATTCAACAAATCATACAAGTCTCTGAGTGAACATTTCTTGGTGTTGCAGAGATCTAAAGCTGACCAAAGTAGGGTTCCTACCCTTTAGGACTTACAGTCTGTTCTCTTGGAGGAAAGAGACAGTTGGGAAACTAGGGTGCAGCTGCTTTGTGCTCTAGGTCCATAAACACCTCTGTGAACATGGGTTCATTTTGTCCTTAAACTTAATACCAAAAATAGAGTTTGTCTTCTAACTATAAATTTAAGTTAGCCTAAACTTTATTACTGCATTCTGCCTGGACAGAATTTTTTTCTTCATGAAACAGAGTATGAAATGATTGCATTTTAGGATTTAAACTTGAAGTTCCTATTTAAAAGAAGAAAAAGGAGACCAGCAGATGGAATAATGGTTACATCTCTGGACTCTCACGTAGTTGACTGTGGTTCGAGTCTCGGACCCAGTAACTTAAAACTCATGCCGGATGCACTTGCATATGTGCCCCAAATCCCAAGATACTGGAGGAGAAGGGATTGCGGCCTAGCCATCCCCACGGGGGGGGGGGGGGGGGGCGGTGTGGGAGGGCGTGATTTCTTGCTTTCTCTCTCTGTCTCTTCGGTGAGCACATGCGCCCTATAGCAAAAGTCTCTCTTAAAATTAAAAAGGAGGGAGAAATATATTTCAGGGAAGATCATTTTTATTATATTTTACTTTCTTTTTTTGTATTTCATATACCTGGGGGGGGTAGGGGAGATAAGGATTTTAGGAGTTTGTCAGTCCTGAGACATGTCATGGCAGCTGACTGAAGGTGAAGAACCTCTGCATTCTCATTACCCTTTACTTTCCTTTGTCTCTTGTAAAACTTTGCTTGGGTGGCAAGAGCATTGGTATAGCCGTTGGCTGCTGTCCCAATATCCATCCTGACATAGGTCTTGGTGTTTTTAAGCACTGCATTAAAGTAGAAATACCTTCTGAAATGAAACCAGAGCTCATCAATTAATGAGCTTAGAGGCGATTACAGTTTTAGTTCAGTGATTTAATGTCCAATATGTGTAAGGCCTGGAGGGAATATAAAACCAAAGGGTACTAGCTTCTAAGAGCTCCGTCTAGTTTGAGAGATGCCGCAATAAGGCGCCCTTGCCTGTGGTGGTGTGAATAAGGGCAGCCCCTGCTAACTTAGGGCTGTCTCTTAACTATGCTAATGTTATTGTTGTGTAAATCAGGAAGATGAATTGGTTAATTTTTTTCCATAGAGTCACAAAGTTTGAGTCAGTAATTTTCACCTTAGCAGCCCACAGCTAGAGGAAGGGATCTTAATGTTAAGTTGAATATTTAGAAATGAAATTGTCTAGAAGAGGAAAGTCTTTGGGGAACACATAGGCATGGGCCAGTGAGTTAGTTTTCTATTGCTTCATAACCAATTACCACCAACGTAGCTGCTTGAAACAACACACGTACATTATGCCCCAGTTTATGAGTCAGGGACCAGGCACAGTTCAGCTGTGCCTGGGTAGTCTGCTTAGGGTCTCATAAGACTGCAAAATAGGTGTCTGCCAAGGCTGGTTCTCATCAGGGCCTTGGCTGAGAAGTGATCTTATTTCCAAGATTCAGGCTGTTGGTAGAGTTTATTTCCTTTGGCTGAAGAATTCTAGCAGATTGCTCCTTTAAAATCAGCCATTGGAGGAGCTGGCAGGTGGTATGGTGATTAAGGGCACGGATTCCCACAGGCTGACCGTGGTTCAAGTCCCAGACCCGGTGGCTTGCTCTCTCATTTCCTTTCTCTCTCTCACTTTGTCCCTCTCTGATTAAACTAAAATAAATAAATAAATAAATTTTTAAAATTCTAAAACAAAACAAAACAACCATTGGAGAGAGACTACTACTCTTGTAGGTAGTCAGCCAAATGCAGTCATGTGCATCTCATCACTTTTGTTGCATTTCATTGGTTGGAAGCAAGTCATGGGTCCTCCCCCATGCTCAAGAAAGAGGAATTTCACAAAGGTGTGACTACCAGGAGCAGGCTCATGGGGGCCTCCTTAACATCTATCAGACAAGACTGATAATCTCATCCAGGAGCTTATTGTAGATGGTATGTAGTTTAAGGGTTCAAATCATGTTCCTTTGTCTCAGATAATTTCAAAACCTCACTTCATGTATACCTCCTGGAGCTTGTGTGTGTGTTTTTTTATTTTAATAATTGTATTCAATTTTATTTATTACTATAGGGCATATGCATTTACCAGAACAGAAAGGAGTGAGAAAACAAGCCAGTAGGTCTAGAACTTGAACACAGTTGGCCATGTGGGAGTCCAGTGCCTTAACCACCATGCGACCTGCTGGCCCTGCTATGTGTAGTTTCACCTGCCCATTTCAGAGGTTTTATCTAGCCCCTGGTTGGTGACTACTGGCCATTGGTCAAACGCAAAAGACACAAAATTACTCAAGCACTATCCTTCAGGACCATGGCAATTCTTTTAGGGTCTTACCAATCTGAAAATTGTACCTCATTTAAGCCAAACACCTGTTTTGTTTTGTTTTGTTTTGTTTTGTTTTGTTTTGTTTTGTTTTTATTGTCAGAGGGTGTGTGCACTTGCCAGAGAAAGACAGAAAGGTGGGGAGAAAGTACCTTCCAATGGGACATGATCATAATCATGCCACAGTCTTTTTCTTTTTTTCTTTTTTCCATTTATTTGTTTTTACATTTTTCCACAATCATTTACTTTACATATCAAAAAATTTTTGCTCAGGGGACCAGCAGTTAACGTAATGGCTATGTCGCTGGACTCCCACGTAGTCGACCGCGGTTCGCGTCCTGGACCTGGTGACTTAAAACTCACGCCAGGCTTGTGTGCATGCGTGCCCAAGATCCCGAGAGGAGAACGGAGGAGAAGGGATTGTGGCGTGGCCATCCCCCCTGGGGAGTTATTTCTCACTTTCTGTCTCTCTGTCTCTGTCTGTCTAGCGAGTGCACGCGCCCTATAGCAAAAACT